GGGGACCTTTTTTCTTACAGTAGAAAGCCACATGACAAATATAGATGGAAGTGGTAGAATTAGAAAAACATCATTTTGCTACAGTTTTGTAAAGATTGGCTCAGGCAAGAATAATTTATATAGCTAGTAAGTAGAGTTTGATGAAGGATATTTACATGATCATAAAAAGTCATCACACAAATTATTTAATTGCTAGGGCAAAAACTGGAATAATACAGTAGGTGAAGAACAGACACCATCCTGATTGTGTGATCAACTAAAATCACTAGTGAAAAGTAGACAAATATTGTATGTCTTCAGAGCTGATAAAATGAATCTGATCATAAGGAAAGTCAAACTGAATCTATGATCTATAAAATAACTGGCTTGTATTCTTCAAAATGTCAATATCAGGAAAGACAATGAAAGGGCATTCTAAAATATATTGAACTGAATAATGATGAAAAGAAAACATAAAAATTTGTGGGATGCAGCAAAAGGAGTGCTTAGAGGAAAATATAAACATTAAATGTTTATATTATAAAGGGAGGGAAGTCTAAGAATAATAAAATTGAAACTTCCTAGCAAGACTGATTTAGAAAAGAGAAATATAATCAGGAATAAAAAGAGTGCCACCACTAAAGATTCTACAGATATTAGAAGGATAATAAATGGATACTATTAAAAACTTTATGCCAATAAATAACAACTTATATAAAATGGACAAATTCATTGAAAAAACATAAATTTCTAAAGCATACAAAATAGAACATTTAAATAGCCCCATATCTATTAGTTACTACATTTATAGGCAAAACTTTCTCTTGAAGAAAACTCCAGATGTAGATGACTTCATTGGTAAATTCTAGAAAAACTTTGAGAAAGCAGTATTTTTCAAAAAGTAGAAGAGCAGGAAACATTTCACAATTGTTTTGTGACCAGAATAACTGTGATATTAAAATCTAACAAAGATATTACAAGAATAATACCTCTTATGAACATAGATGCCAAAATGATTTAAAATATATTAGTAAATCAAATCCAGGGAGGTTTATTCTAGGAATACAAGGTTGGTGTAATATTTGGAATTAAATGTAATTCACATTAACAAAAGAGAAAATCCATGTGAATTATGTCAAAAGACGCAGAAAAACTATTTGGCAAAATTCAGCAAACTTCATGACTAAAAAAAAAAAAGCAACTCCCAGTAGACTAAGAATAGAAGGGAATTTCCTTGACCTGACAATATGCATCTGTAAATGCTATAACTAACCTCCCACTTACTGGTGAAGAGTTGAATGTATTATGCATTCTAAGATCAGGAATATAAAAAGGATAACTATTCTCACTTCTATTCATCATTATACTGGAGGTCTTACCCAGTACAATAAGATGAGAAAATAAAATAAAAGCATAAAGATTGGAAAAGAAGTAAAATTGATGTTTTTCACAAATGATGTGACTGTATTGAAGAAAACCCTATGGATTCTACAACAAACATTACTCGAAGTAATAAATAAGTTTATTTACAAACGTCACAGAGCACAGGTCAATATAAATATCAATTGTAGTAAAGATGGCAATTTACTATAGACTAATTTGTAAACTAAATGCAATTCCCATCACAACAATCTTAAAAGGATATTTTGTAGCTAGAGATAAGTTTATCTTAAAATTTTATAAACAGACAAAAGCTTTAAAAAAGTTGAAAAGAAGAATGAAATTGGAGGAACCAAACTGCTCAATTTTATGACTTACTACGTAGCTAGAGTGTGGTATTGGTAGCAATAGACAGGTGAATAGTACAGATAGAGAATCCAGAAATAGATCCACACATACATGCCCAATAGATTTTTGACAAAAGTTGCAAAAGCAACAGTGTAGAAAGGATACCTTTCCAATAAATAGACATCAGTAGCCCCCAAAATGAGCATTGATCTAAACCTCACACCTTATTAAAAAATTAAAAGCAGATCAAAGATAGAAATATAGAATGTAAAACTTCATACCAAAAAAAATCTTGAAAAAGAAGAACAAAGTTGGAAAACTTCCTGATATTAAAACTTACTTCAAAGCTATAATAATTAAAATGTGGTACTGATAGGGGTGCCTGGGTGGCTCAGTTGGTTAAGCCTTCGACTTTGGCTCAGGTCACGATTTCATGGTTTGTGAGTTCGAGTCCCACATTAATCTCTGTGCTGACAGTTCCAGAGCCTGGAGCCCGCTTCAGATTCTGTGTCTCCCTCTCCCTTTGCCCCTCCTCCACTTGCACGCTGGCTCTGTCTGTCTCTCTCTCAAAAATAAATAAACATTAAAAAAAAATTTTTTTTAACGTGGTATGATGTAAGGGATAAATATATAGATCAATGTAATACAATTGAGATTCCAGAAATAAATGCTCACATTTGTAGTCAACTAACTGACTTTCAACAAGTGTGCCAAGACAATCAATGGGAAAATAATAGTCTTTTCAACAAATGGTGTTGGGACAACCAGATATCTAAATGCAAATGAGTGAAATTGGGCCCATACCTCAAACCACATATGAAAACTCACTCAAAATAGATCCAACACTTAAATATAAAAGCTAAGACTACTAAAACTCTTAGAAGAAAACATCCACATAAATCTTTACCACCTTCAGTTGGAGAAAAGTTTTAGATATGACACTAAAGCTTTTATCTTGATGAGGTCCCAATAGTTAATTTTTGCTTTTGTTTCCCTTGTCTCTGGGCTACAGCCAATGTTAAAGAGGTTGCTGCCTGTGTTCTAGGATTTTGCTGGTTTCCTGTCTTACATTTGTCTTTCATCTATTTTGAATTTATTTTTGTGTATGGTGTAAGAAAGTGTTTCAGTTTCATTCTTTTGCATATTGTTGTCCAGTTTTCCCAACACCATTTGTTGAAGAGACTGTCTTTTTCCCCATTGGATATTCTCTCCTGCTTTGTCAAAGATTTGTTGACCATATTGCTGTGGGACCATTTCCATGTTTTCTATTCTGTTCCATTGATCTGTGTATCTGTTTTTGTGTCAGTACCAGACTGTTTTGATTACTACGGCTTTGTAGTTTATCTTGAAATCTGGGATTGTGATAACTCCAGTTTTGTTCTTCTTTCTCAAGATTGCTTTGGCTATTCAAGGTCTTTTAATTTTAGAATTATTTTCAAAACTTAAAATTTGGTCTATTCATAAAATGGAATACTGTATAACAGCCCATAATGAGCTATGAGTATATGCACCAACCTGGATGAATCTCAGAAACATAATGTTGCATAAAAAGATAAGAATGTATTAGACATGAAGTCTAAAAACATATAAAATTTAACAGTAGATTGCTCAAGGATCTATAGTATTTGTGGTAAAACCATAAAGAAAAACAAATAAATGGTTAACTGCAATTACAGGATAATGGGTCTACAGGAGGGTGAGGATTAGACTGTAAGAGATAAATGAAGACTCAGGACACCTCAAAGTTACTGGTAATATTCTATTTCTTATTCTGGGTGGTAGGCGTAAATAATTACACTTACTAGTCTTTAAATTGTTTGTGGGTACTCTTTTGTATATATACTGTATTTCACAATAAAAGCTTTTTTTAAATAAACCAAGCTCTAGTTCTATATATTAAGCCATATCTTTTGTTATAACTTTCATCCTCCTGCCTGCCTGTCTCTAGTAGGTGAGGAAGGGGCCAATACACAGGTAGAAATTGAGATGAGAAAAAGAGGTACAATAAGAAAAAGAATCCTTTTGTACTGAAAGTGATTATGGCTGAGGTCAGCACTACCTTATTCTTTTCATACCATGTTTTTATTCTATGTTTTATACTACTTTTCTTCTAAATTAGGTTCCTATCACTGACTATCAAGAGTCCAGAATAATATTTTATATTTACTTGTGCATTATTTATCTCTCCCACTAGGCTATAAATGTCAGGGGAGCAGGGACTCTTATCTTCCTTGTTCACTACCAAATTTCCAGTTGCCTAGAATAGTGCCTGGCATATAAGCCTGTATTAGATATTTGTTGAATGAACAATAAACAGTTAAAATTCAGGGCTACTATATATGTATTTCTTCCATTATAACACTCAAGATATTTTTGTAACTGTCTGTCTGTATCCATCATTAGGTATGAAGACATCATTATACTAATAGAACCTAGCAAAATGCCTAGCATGTGATGGGTATTGAGTAAATTCAATTAATATTAAATGTATACATAGAAACATTTTTTTTTCTCTGCAATGCAATCTCAGTTTCAAACAATCTTTCATTTGAAAGTCAGAGCTATTAATCTTTAGAATTAACTTGATCATTAAACCCACCTGCTTAAAACCCTCCAGTAATCATAATGGTATACTTCTATGTTGCTCACTATGTGGCCAGGCATGATTCTGAGTGCTTTTTACATACTGATTCATTTACTTCCCATAACAACTCTATGGAGATGAAATCATCCTCATTTTGCAGAAGAGGAAACAGACACACAGAAGTTAAGTAATTTGCCTAAGATTACACAGCTAGTAGTGGAAGAGCCAGGATTCCAAACTGCATCAACTGGCTCTACAGTCTATGCCCTTGACCATAATCCCATAATGCCTCCAGTGGATCTGTGAAGTCTATGGGGCAAAATCCAAAATGCTTAGACTGCAAATGATCCTCACAGCCTCGTCTCCAGGATCTTTTCCTACCACTTCCTCCTATTAACCCTAGGCTCTAAACATTATAGCATTTTTACCGAACATGTTACTTACTTTCATACCTGTAAGCCTTTAAACATAGAATATCTTTTGTTCTCTTTCCGTCTGGCAAATTATTTCTCCAAATCCAGCTAAAAATTTCTTCTCTGTGAAGCCTTCCTCAATTTATGCTCCTTTGCCTACATTTCGTCAATTTTGTGGCTCTTACCATGTTATGTTGTAATAATTTTAGTTTATATGATTTTCTTTGCTACTAACTTGGGGCTACTAACTAGGTCTGAACTCATATCTTATTGTTTATGTAGCCTCAGTGCCAAAACTACTGTTGTCAAAAAATATTTGTTAAACAAATGAAAATTGAGTTTAACTTGAGTTCAATATTCAATATGTAAAATGAAACTTTGATATCCTACCAATTTGTCGCTATTTATTTATTGCTATAATAATAATGTTATCAACCACTAATACTTATTTTGTTTAGTTATATCATAGATTTAAATTTCTACTGGTATCTCCCTTGTTTTACTTTGTGCATATAACACTGTTTTTGATATCACATAACAGAAAGTTAACTATGTGTCTGTTTTTCCCACTTGTACTACACTAGCATCTCTAAGGTAAGATTCATATCTTAACCATCCTTAATAGGGGGCTCCCAGAGCTTAGAATACAATGAAGTCTTTTAAAAATTTTTTCAACATTTATTCATTTTTGAAAGTGAGAGAGACAGAGCATGGTGGGGGAGGGACAGAGAGAGTGGGAAACACAGAATCAAAAGCAGGCTCCAGGTTCTGAGCGGTCAGCACAGAGCCCCACATGAGGCTTGAACTCACGGACCATAAGATTATGACCTGAGCTGAAGTCGGATGCTTCCCAGGTGCCCCAGAGTACAATGAAGTCTTAATAGATTCTTGTTAATTGTACTTAATTTCAATTAGTTAGTTTTGTTAGATTATTTGGTTACCCAAGTATCCTCTTATTTCTAAATCACTTTCTTCTGACAGGCCTGGCAATTTTGCTTTTTCTTATTCCATGTATCTTCAATAACAATCCCACTATGAGGAGTATATAGGCTCTCAGGTTAGAAATACAGAGAAGCTGGGTGCCTGGGTGGCTCAGTTCATTAAGCATCCAACATCTGCTCAGGTCATGATCTCACAGTTGGTGAGTTCCAGCGACAGGCTCTGTGCTGATGGCTCAGAGCCTGGGGTCGGCTTCAGATTTTGTGTGTCTCCCTTTCTCTCTGTCCCTCCCCGCTTGCACTCTGTTTCTCTCTCTCAAAAATAAAAAAGCTTCAAAAAAATTAAAAAAAAAAAAAGAAATATAGAGAAGCAACTTTAAAAGCAGACATTTTCGTTTAGTTTTCAATTTCTCATAAAAACTAACCAGTTTGGATAATTTAAATTTAGGTCCATGTTATTGTCTCTCAAATTTAAAAATAACAATGGATACTCTTTCAAATTTAAAGACAACAATGCTAATGACATGGTATCAAATAAATTATTTGAAAATATTTATATAAAATATTATACATTACCTGTAATTGGTATCCTCCAGTATGAAAGTTTCGAGAAATAAAAACACACTGAGAATGAGATTTAATCTTTGCCTTTGATGATATTTGCCTGCATCTCTCATCAGTTGCTTTAAATTTGGAATTTTGAAATATTTCTCTGAAAAATATTTTATAGAAAATATTATTAAACATATGTTCCATTATAAACCAATTAAATTGTTTCCAATAGTTATACATAAAGGTTTAAAAATCAGAACATATTATTATATATTAATTTTTAAAACACAAATCAATATATATAGTTTCTTCTTATCTATTACTGATTTCATTACACCTATTTTATTTGTAGTATGTAAATTAAGCTACTTCTTATGCAGGGTTAATATTTCCAGTTTGAAATTAACCATGATTTTTTTTATATCCTTCTTTCTGGTTGTGAGATAATCAATCTACTTTAATGTTAGTCTTTTCATAAATTTGCTTTCAATGGCAAAGGAAATGAAATTAAATGAAACTCATTCATCAGCTTTATATTTAATAATATACCTGGCAAAAGTAAGAGGAAGGAAACTGAATTGAAACTCATACTTACAATGCAAGAGTAGTTGTGATCTTTATCCATGCAACACAAATAATTTTGAGAGACTGTTAAAAATAATCAATCAGCAAGTAAAACTCCAACTGATCAAAGATAGTTAAGTATGAGGAAATGTAGTTTATAACAGCCATTCTAAATGTAACAATTTAAAAAATGATGCTGATTTCCATTTGTTCTTACAGAGGTGCTAGAAAATTCCTAAATTAATTCAAGAGATTGCATTATGTTACTTAATGAGGTATAGGCAATTAGGATTCATTCATTAATTGAATTCAATTACCTTAAATATTTATTGAATACTTACTATATGTCAGGCATTATGCTGGGTGTTGTAGCAAGGGAAAAAAAAGCACAGCCACTAGCTTCATAGAACTGTTATTGCTCTTATGGAGCTTAAACACTATTAAGGAAGACAGACATTAATAAAATACTGATAAGAAAATGAAAAATTACAACTTTGGAAAGTGTTATCAAGGAAAGGTACCTGGTGTACCATGTAAATATGTAACAAAGGGAATTAATCTGGTTAGAGAGGTCAGGGAAGGCTTTTCTGAGGGAGAGATGATTGAATTGGGTATCTGAAGAAATAGTAAGATATTAGGTAGGTGTGATGGAGGAAGAAAGATGTAGAAGAAAGAATAGCCTAAGAAAAAAGAATAGTCTTTTTTCAGAAAGAAAAACAAGTATAAAGACCTAGGGACCAGATTAGGACACTGTATCAGAAGCAGTGAAAGCAAGAGGGAAAGTGGGAGACAAACTGGGGGAGTATGCATGGGCAAACTATGTAGGGTCTTAAATGTTGTGTTGTTTGTCTTTATCCCAAAAGCAATGGGAAGTCTTTTATAATATAGTGGGGATGGGATGGAATGGTTGGGTGACTTGATTAGATATGTATTTGGAAAATGTCTGGCTGAAGCATGGAGAAGAGATTTAATGGGGATAATACTGAAGGTAGTGGGTCAGTCATAACTCCTAACGCAGTAATCTCTGTCATGGGTGAGGGATAAGGATAACTTAAATAAAAAGTTGGCAGTGGTAATTGAAAGAAATAAATAGATTTTAGTGATTTATGAGGTAAAATAAATAGAACCTGGTGATGGTTCAAATTTGGGGGAGGTGTGAAAAAGAGGAAGATACCAAGCATATTTTCAATCTTCAGAGAGAGAAAAAACAACCCTTCCCTCACCTCACATTCTCTTCCAGCTACTGGCCCATTTATCAACTCCCTCCTCACCAAAAACACAAAACAAACAAAACAAAACAAAACAAAAACCTTCCTTAAAGGGAGGTCCATGCTTGTTTCAATTTTCTTACCTCCTGTGTCTTATTCAAACATAAGCTTCTGAACCCATCCCTCCACAAAATTGTTAAAGGTCATCAATAACTTACATGTTGCCAAATCCAAAAATTAGTTCTCTATCCTCATCTTTCTCAACTTCATAAGCAATATCTTCTCAATATCATCATCTCCTCCTTCCTGAAACATTTTCTAATTTTTTCTTCTATTTCTTTCTTTAATTTTAAATCCCAGTATAGTTAATATAGTGTTATCTTAGTTTCAGATATAAATACAGTGATTCAACAATTCCATACATCACCCAGTGCTCATCACAACAAGTTCACTGCTCAATCCACATGATTTATTTTACCATCCCCCCCTTACTTCCTTTCTGGTAACCATCAGTTTGCTTTCTATGGTTAAGAGTCTATTTCTTGGTTTCCCTCTCTCTCTCTTTTTCCCCTTTGCTCAATTTTTTTGATTGTTCCCTAATTCCACACATGAGTGAAATAATATGACATTTGTCTTTCTGTGACTGACTTATTGCAGTTAGCATTATACTCCTAGCTCCATCCGTATCATTACAAGTGGCAAAATTTTATTCTTTTTCTTGGCCAAATAATATTATATTGTGTATATATACCACATCTTTTTTTTAAGTTTATTTATTTATCTTGAGAGAAAGACAGCATGAGCAGGGCACAGGAGAGAGAGAGAGGTTGAGAGGTTGAGAGAGGGAGAATCCCAAGCAGGCTCCACACTGTCAACACATTTTCCAAATACATATCTAATCAATGCAGGGCTACAACTCACAAACAGAGAGATCATGACCTGAGCTGAAACCAAGAGTCAGATGCTTAACTAACTGAGCCACCCAGTTTCCCCAGTATACCACATCTCCTTTATCCATTCATTGACTGATGGATAGGTGGGCTGCTTCCATAATTTGGCTACTGTAAATAATACTGCAATAAACATAGGGGTGATATATCCCTCTGAACTAGTGTTTTTGTCTTTTGGGAGTAAATACCCAGTAGTGCAATTACTGGATCATAGAGTAGTTCTATTTTTAACTTTTTGAGGAACTGCCATACTGTTTTCCACAGTGGTTGTACCAGTTTGCATTCCCACCAACAGTTCAAGAGGGTTCCTTTTTCTTCACATCCTTGTCAACACCTTTTGTTTCTTGTGTTTTTGATTTTAGCCATTCTGACAGGTGTGAAATGATATCTCATTGTGGTTTTGATTTGTATTTCCTTGATGATGAGTGGTGTTGAGGATCCTTCCATGTGTCTCTTGGCCATCTGGATGTCTTCTTTGGAGAAATGTCTGTTCGTGTCTTCTGCCCATTTTTAATTGGATTATTTGGTTTTGGGGTGTCTAGTTGTATAAATTCTTTATATATTTTGGATACCAACCCTTCATCAGATATGTCATTTGCAATATCATCTCCCATTTGGTAGGTTGCCATTTAGTTTTGTTGATTATTTCCTTTGCTGTGCAGAAGCTTTTCATTTTGAGGTAGTCCCAATAGCTTATTTTTTCTTTTATTTTCCTTGCCTCAGGAGACATATCTAGAAAAATGTTGCTATGGCCAATGTCAGAGAAATTACTGTTTGTCCTCTCTCCTAGGATTTTTATGGTTTAAAGTCTCACATTTATGTCTTTAATCCATTTTGAATTTATTTTGGTGTATGGTATCACACAATGGTCTAGTTTCATTCTTTTTCATGTGGCTGTCCAGTTTTCCCAACACAATTTCTTTTTTTTTAATGATTTTTTTAATGCTTATTTATTTTTGAGACAGAGAGAGACAGAGTATGAACGGGGGAGGGTCAAAGAGAGGGAGACAGAATCCGAAACAGGCTCCAGGCTCTGAGCTGTCAGCACAGAGCCCGACGCGGGGCTCAAACTCACGGACCGTGAGATCATGGCCTGAGCGAAGTCGGCCGCTCAACCAACTGAGCCACCCAGGCGCCCCCCCAACACAATTTATTGAACAGACTATCTTGTTCCCATTGGATATTCTTTACTGCTTTGTCGGAGATTAATTGACCACAAAATTGTAGGTTTATTTCTGTGTTTTCTATTCTGTTCCATTAATCTATGTGTCTATTTTTGTGCTAATACCATACCATTTTGATTACTGCATTTTGGTAATATAAGTTGAATTCTAGAATTGTGATACCTCCAGCTTTGCTTTTCTTTTTCAAAATTGCTTTGGCTATTCAGGGTCTTTCATGGTTCCATATAAATTTTATGATTTTTTGTTCTAGTTCTGTGAAAAATGTTGTTGGTATTTTGATAGGAATTGAATTAAGTCTGTAGATTGCTTTGGGTAGTATTGGCATTTTAACAATAATTGTTCTTCCAATCGATGAGCATGGAATGTCTTTCCATTTTTGTGTCATCTTTAATTTTTTTTTATTTTTCTAAATGTTTCTTTATTTTTAAGAGATAGACAGAGTGCTAGCGGGGGAGGGACAGGAAGAGAGGGAGACACAGAATCCAAAGTAGGCTCTAGGCTCCATGCTGTCAGCACAGAGCCAGATGCAGGGCTCAAACTCAGGAACCATGAGATCACGACCTGAGCTGGAGTTAGACACTTAACTTACTGAGCCACCCAAGTGCCCCTTTGTCATCTTTAATTTAATCTTTAATTCCATCAATGATTTCAAGTTTTCAGAGTACAAGTGTTTCACTTCCTTGGTTAAGTTTATTCCTAGGTATCTTTTTTTAATGTTTATTTATTTTTGAGAGAGGGACAGAGTGCGAGTGGGGAGAGAAGAGGGAGACACAGAATCCAAAGTAGGCTCCAGGCTCCGAGCTGTTAGCACAGAGCCTGATGCGGGCTCAAACTCACGAACTGTGAGATCATGACCTGTGCCAAAGTTGGACACTTAACTGAGCCACCCAGGCACCCCTAGGTATCTTATGATTTTTGATGTAATGATAAACAGGATTGTTTTCTTAATTTGACTTTCTGCTGCTTCATTCCTAGTGTATAAAAATGCAACAGGGGCGCCTGAATGGCTCAATTGGTTAAGCATCCAACTTCGGCTCAGGTCATGATCTCATAGTTCATGAGTTCAACCCCACATTGGGCTCTCTGCTGTCAGTGCAGAGCCCACTTCAGATCCTCTGTCCCCCTGTCTCTCAGCCTCTCCCCCACTTGCGCGTTCTGTCTCCCAAAAATAAACATTTAAAAAATGCAACAGATTTCTGTACATTGATTTTGTATCCTGTGACTTTACTAAATTCATTTATCAGTTTTTGTAGT